CAGAGTCTCTGGTTGCTCTTTAATGAGTGTTATTTTCGGGCTACTGTCGCCATAACCCACACCTTACAAACTCAACTTTTTCATCAGAATCACTCGTAACAGAGTATTTACTAGCATAGCAAACCAGAGCGGAAAAAAAACGGAACCGGAACAACATTTCTCACCCGCTGAGTTCGCCTTCAAAATAAAACGGTAACCCTATAGTTTACTATTCAAACCCTTACAATATGTTTCAGGTCATTTGGCCACTCCGGCTTTCCGTAGCCGTTTCCTCATTACACGGGGAAGGAGGGTTTTGGCTCGTCTCTCCGCACAAGCAGGATGGAAAACAGAACTCCGTTGGCATTGAACGTCCCCAAATAATTAAAAACCAGGAGGCCAAATGCAAAGTTTAGAGCAGCACATTTACCCAGAGGCTCTCAGACTGAGCAAACTTGTAAGAATACACGTAATAGCCGCTTAGAGACGGAGCAACATGTCGCTAGCATAGCGGCTAATCGCTAGCATAGCAGTTTGGCCAGTTACATCGATATAAAGTCATCTTATATCTTGTTTAAAAATTATACCGATATTTAAAGAATCGCCCAGCCCTAACACACACACATATATATATATATATACACACACACACACATATATACATATATATATATACACACACACACACATATATATATATATATACACACACACACACACACACATATATATATATATATATATATATATATATATATATATATGCCCCCCTGCCACCTGTCTTTCCCCGACCCCTCCGGCTCCAATTCCCGCAGATTACACCCCCGGGCCTGAATCGATCACCAGCGGAGTTTTCACCCCACTCCCCCCGGCATGGTGGAGCGAAGGATCAGACCCGGTTCGAGCTGCTCGAGCCCCCCCGCCAAACCTCTTTCCCCGACCCTGGACACGTGGAACATCGGACAAGGTAAGGGCTGGATGGGCTGCTTGTGTAACCGCGTTGTCGCTGACAGACTCCCTGTTGCTGCGCGCTGAAGCCACACTTTCCATCTCACTAGAAGACCGCAGATCATCCTCGGAAATATTCTTCCTCCGAATCCAAATCTGCCAGTACTAGACGAAGAGCTTCGTTAGCACTGAACATTCCACTCGGCATTGTTTTTCCCTCTACCACTCGCTCACTCTCACTTGATCTGACAACCCCCGCGAATCTGCGACTGGTGGGCGGGGTTCAAGCTCTAAATACTCCAAAAGTTTGAATAGTAACACACCCACAAATGCTGCCTGGATTGAAGTTACAGGTGTCTGCCACCCCGCTGTGTAACGTATTAACTGCATGAGGGCTCATTTCTGCTGCTGTGGCTTATTAAATCCAACGTTGCTGCTTGTCGCAATTCTGCGACTTTGGCGCTTAAAGGGTTAACCTTACCATGCACATTACAGCTTGTATATGGAACCTCAAAATACATAACTGCACTCTCCATAACTGACATGCAACCTCGAGGGAGAAAAACACCCCTAATCGGAAAATGTCCAATCAGCTAAAAAATAATATATTGTCCAATACATTCCTTTACAATTGATGAGACATCTCACTCCTCCAACATATGGCTATCACACCATTTCTAAAGCAAGAACAAGGTTTTTCACAGTAGCCCTATGAAATGAAAAGGCCTTAATGAGTTTCACCTTCACAGGACCATTCAGCCACATGAGAGCTTAACTCTCGTCGCAGAGAACAAAAGCAGAACAGATGTGTGAGGTCAGGACACAATGAGTGGCAATAGTTTCTGCTGTGTGAGCAACAGAACAGAGAGTTAAAGAAAAGAGTGGCTGATGTCCGTTAAGTTTTGGACTAATTAAACTGGCAGACTCTGGAATGAGCACTTCAAGCAACCTACTCATGACAAGCTGTTCTTTGAAAATATTCGATAACAAACCGACATACCTTTAGCTACTGACTCAGTTCACTTTTTCTGCCTGTAGGAATGTCGATTCTGAAAAGACTTGCTATGTTTTCTTTTATTTCTCTATCAATTGAGCTCAGTATTCAGAAAGACTGAAAATTGTTTAAAAAAAGGCTAAACAGCGATGTTTTGTTAACTCAGGTATGATTTTCTGAATCATTGGCAGGTAATTCAGACACAGGATTGCTCCTGAAATATCCCGCCTGCAAAGTGGCGCTGTAGGACGACTGCATTGTACATTAGCCGAGTCAAGGCCAAAGACAACAAACTCTCAGCTCTGTCTGAAATAAATGAGTCACCAGAACATCTTGACAGAGCATTTGCCCTGTGCCTCGACAACCAGGGAAATAGTTAAACTAAAGCCTCTAGGTAAAACCCTAAACAGGAAGTGAAGCGGATTCCAGCAGCGAGCTGCGTCACTGGGAGCACAGTTACACATTACTAATGTTGTTTACGTTAGTTGTTTGTTTTCTCTGTATTCATATAAACAAAAAACTGACATCTGGGAGCAACCAAAACAAGTTTGCTCATTTGTCAGCACACAGCAATCGGTGGCTACCCTAATGCAAACTTTTCCACCCAGACATCACTCAGTCCAGCGTTTCAACTCTCAACAACACCAGCGAGCCGTTTGTACAAATGGCTTATGTTACCTAAAACTTTAAGTTAAAGAGAAAACCTGATGCTGATGTTTTAATCTTGGGAAAGGCTTTTTCTAAAGCAAGGAGACCCTTCCAGAAAGCTTTGCCCTGCATTAGAAAATGCTAAACAAACACTTCTAATTTTGTACTCACATTTACCTCGATGCTTTTTTCTTTCTACTTAGACTGGTATTTTCAGTGTATTTTATCTACCTGCAATTAAGTTTCTTCAATTAGACGACTAGGCCAGTAGCCTTTAGCTATAGTCTCTTCTCAAGGTCAAGCATTTTCTCTAGTTTAATCATGTCAACTTTAATGTAAAACACTCTACAAAAGACACATTAAGAATACACTGCATGATCAAACCACAGGCTCTATGTACCACCAGTGCCAGTTTACAGCTGACTGACAGAGGTCAGTGACCTTAGGGCCACCCCAGAGCTCTCATTAATATAACCTGAACATGTAATCATCTTTAACTCTTCAGAGGAATACTAAATGACTTATGGTGCATTTTCTGGCCCTTCCCCCAACTATGACATGTAAAATGGCTTCCTAAAAAACCCATCATCATCAACCTTTTGATAGACTTTGGTGCACCTTTAAACTATTTGTTTGTCACTTTACAAGAGCCTTACGCTCTCATGGGTTGTGGACTGGCTACACTGTGGTATGTGAAATAAACAAGTGTACTGCTAGTATGGTTTAGTTTATCCTGTGTATATTTTGCAACGTTTGTTTCACACTACATAACAGATTGTTTATTTCTACAGCAAACTTACCACCAGTGATCTCGTTGTATGTTACATAACATCGTATTTGTTTGAGTATTATCTGTGTTTAAGTGGTGTCAGCCACGTTTCTGAGTTTATATCAGATGTCAGAACATCCCAGGAACAAAAACAAATTCACCCCTAGTGCGAGGCTTTTCGCAGGTTTAGTAAACGTGCACGGACTAAAGGTGACACAAATGTCACCAATATAAAAAACGTTTCCCAGCTCCAGAACTCCTAAAAGACACAAAGTCCAACCGTGTATTCAAAATATTTAGCATGAGGCTAATGTGCTTCCTTAGGACTACCTGCATCTCACCGTTAGCGTCTACATGCTAGGCTAGTTAGCTTCGGAAGCTTATAATTTTGCGGAAATTTTAAATAACACTGACTGTAATGTACAACAACCATGAGGTCAACAAGTAACGTTGTTTTCTGACAGCGAGCATTCTCACCTCTTGTCTTCTTTTAGGCCCAAACCATTCTAGCTGTTGGAAAGCTCTTTTTCTCTTTGTCTTTTTCCACTTCCAGTTCAACGCAGAAAATGGACTCGGCGAAACGCTGTTAACAGTTAAAATGCTAAAACTAAAAAGATGCGCCTCATATTTTCTTTGAAACGCGACAGCACATCGAGTGGAAAACAAAGCAAACCATTTTATCTCTCGCGAATTGTATTACTCTTCAATACAAGTGGCTGATAGCTAAGTTACGCAGCCCGCAGGTACTACAGACAGCAAGAGGAGCCGCCTTCGCGTGCTGATGGAAAAATGTCAAACCTAAGAACTGAACGTGTAGTTAGTGTGTAGTATTCTTACAAAAAACCTAAGGACCCCGAGTAAGTACCTCTAGCAACAACAACAATATCAACATTAGTAATAATAATAAGAGGTTACGCCATTTACGTAAAGAAAACCGATTTTTTTAATATACTTTTTGTAATGTTAAAATAATTAAGATCGTATTAAAGAATGAAGGTGTTCATACTAAATAAAAATGTATAGCTTTTTAGTGAAAAGTGTATTAATTAAAAAATAAACAGAAATTACCAGTAGTGTATGGAGAGCTCTTGAATTCCTACTACAGTGAACGCAACATTTCAGTGACGCAAGGTTGCCCGTGTTTGACGTACAGGAGAAAACCGAGCACGTTTTATTGTTCCCAGCTTGTTTATTGATAGATTGTCTTTTAACCGAACAATTTTACTGCATTATGTTTTATTTTAAGATTAAAAATACGAGTAAAAAATGAGTTTTTTCCAAAACACAGTTTTGCGATGCTCAATTTCTGTACTTCTCCGGGCAGCAAAGCCCCAGTCATTTTAACATCATAATCCCTTCGTTCATTTCTGATTAGTTGGATTTCATTTCAGATTAGTTGGATTAAATGACAAAACAATTTTCTGACGCCTCACCTTTTAAAGGAACAGTTTATGTTGATCACCATAGGCGGAAATATTTTTGATCAACCAAACACAGACGGACCTCAGCAACCTACCCATCTGTTTCTAAACTTTACTTCTAGTCTTTTTTTAAATGGAGACATTAAACTGCAGCCTGGAGATCAGCTGGCATGATCTGATATTATTTCATTTCATTTATAAATCCCAAATTTGACAAGCTGTCAAAAATCTAAAGGCCCTGATATGTACAAATTAGTTTATTTAAAATGAAATAACTTTACAGGAACAAACTTTACAGGAACAATATTTCCCCTTTCTTTACCAGCTGTTACATACATTTGTGATTATATGGATTAGCTTAAATATACATTAAAGTATTCAAACAATTGCATTGGTTCTATTTGTTTTTTAAAAGTTTCCTCTTTAATTGCAAATACTTTAAGAAACTTGAGAAAATGCCACAGTCAACAAAACAGAGACAAGAAGTTAGAAAAACAGAACAACACAGCTTAAACCAGCCTCTTGTTCATCTGCCATCCTTGTCCAACTAAATCAAACCTTATAAACCAGCTGAAAAAAATAAAACACTTGAGGACTTTTTGGGGAAAATAACGCAGAAAAATAAGATGCAAACAGAAAGCCAACTCTTCCCAGCATGCTCATTTCTTCTTTCTCTTCTTCTTTGGAGGCCCTTGATCTGAATCGCTGCTGCTTCCCGAGTCTGAGCTGTTTGATGACGAAGAGGTGGAGGAGGAAGATGAGGATGAGCTGTCGTCGCTGTCGCTGCTGCTATCGTCTGAAGATGAGCTGGAGGAGTCGCTGCTGTCTGACGAGTCGCTGGAGGAGCCGTCGGCATTGCTGCTGTCGTCGCTGGAGTCTTTTGCCCTAAAAGCGCGGCACAAGGAGGGAACAGGACGGGAGCAGTAAAATGTAAACCTGTTACATCTACTGGGATGTTAAACAGGCAGCTGTGGGTGTCATCTTGCACAAACATAGTGACAAATAGATTTTCACGTTCGTAAAATAACAAAAAATGTCTGAAATGTTGGTTCTTTGCAGCTGTCCTGTCTCTGAGATCATATGAGATGATTTTCTGCAAAAGTACATGTTTTCAAACAAATGTATTGGAGATTTAGCAGTAATACCCTTAGTTATGTGTCTTCTTTAGCCAATAATAGCTTATTTGAAACACATGTAAACACCAGTTGATGCAACAACAAAAAAAGCATTTATTGCAAACACATTAAAATTGAATTTAAGTACTTTTTACTGAACAGTTTTTAACCCTTTAGGCCCAAGGCCTTTTTTCTTTGGGCCCTGGCACCTCCCAGTTGGGGGCCTTTGGAGTTTCCTGTCCCAAGTCCCCGAGCACAGCTACAGCTACTATCGAAACTGTTTAGATTGTAAACAAAGCAATTTTTGGATTTTGATACATTAAGATAAAATAATACTTGAACTGTATGTTAGAAGAGCTGCCCTGTGTGAAAGTGCTGACAGGATGGAGGTTGTGAGTTCAAATTCCATTTAGGAAATGTTGTCAATTGTTTTATTTATTCCAGGGTCCTCAACTAAATGTGTTCAAGGGTTTTTTCCCAGCAGACACCAGAGAAGGTCAGATGCTCTTCTAAAATAAAGTTCAAAGGTCGTTCTATCTTAATTTATTACCATTTAAAATGGCCTTGTTTCCCATCTGGGCTGTTTGATTGTGGTTTTAGTTGTGTTTGGAGAACGTGGACAGTTGTAGATGTTTGGGACATGAAACTGTAGAGGCACCCAATTGGGGGGGCGTTAGGGTTAAACAGGCTAAGATACATTTAAATCTTTTTATAATTACTTTTTTAATTGACTTTCCAATTAATCTGTAACAACAATTTAACTGATGGAAAATGTGAAGCTGTTCTACTATCACAGTACAAAAGAAACAAGAATCAAATGTAAATTCACTAAGAGTCTTGTCTAAAAACAGACAATAGATAACCCAGAAAATGGTTTCACTTCTCATCAACTGCCACTAGATGGAACTGTTAAGTCACAATTCTGTTTAAAGTGGTACAAGTTGAGAAGTATGAACATAAGAATTAAAATATCATCTTTATGAATAAAAAAATCTTTTACATCCAAAAATGAATGACTAGAAATGACCACACCACAGCTATGAAACTTCTTTAAAATATTTCAATATAGTAAATTATAGGGATGTAAGAAAATATCGATATGACAATATATTGTGATTTTTTTCCTGCAATATTGTATCGATCTTTAAAAGCCACGTGGAATTTACATGCAAACATTTGTGTATTTTCTTTTCTTTTGGTGCAATTCAAACGCCGACCACTAGGTAGCAGCAGTGTGCAATGTGTTTTGTTTCCACCATTGAAATATAAATCCCTTTCTCTATTCCACCTTCCTCAGGATGCACTGATTTCCCTCTTTCCTATTCACTCTCTCTCTTTCTTAACATTTTTTTTAATCACAATTGTCTATTTTTTGCTCATTTTAAATATATTTTTAACCATTTTCTAAATTCTTTTTTATATTTTTACATTTTTTGTTTTTGTGAAGCGCCTCGTGATTTTTATCTTGAGAGGCGCTATAGAAATGATATTTTCTTCTACTTTATAAGATACCTTATATTGAACATGTTACATTTCAGTTTGGACTGGATTGAGTTTCCCTACAATAAATTCTGTCAAAAAAAATGCTAATATCATCTGGCTGAATGTATCACAATATATTGTGATATATCGAATTTGTCTCCCCTGTATCTTGATACGTATCGTATTATCAGAGTTTCACCAATACACATCCCTAGTAAATTATCAGATTACTTACTTCTTTTTTGTTTTCTTTTCACTGGAACCTTCTCCTCCAGGTCTGTGATGTGGAAAAATCACAACATTATATATAGTTCAGTCACTATTGATAAAATCATTTGTTTGTAATTTTATGTATTTTAGTTAAACAAATTCAACTTCTATTTGAGATCATTTGAAACACTGTCAAAATTTAAGAATTATTTATAAATCTAATTTCACTGTAAAAACTGAGTTCTCAGTTATAATTATCATTTTTTGTGGGTTTATTTATGCACAGTTAGGCTGGGCGATCTAGCCTAAAATCAATATCACGATATATTGAGGATTTCACCTTGGTATGCGCAGAAACAAAAGTTGTCCACTAAATGGGGCTGTCACATGTATTACGTTGAATCTAATTTTTAAGTCACTCAGGGTGGCACAGCTTCTTAAAGGGACATGGATTTTGCCAACCTACACACATCTTTTCATTTTTTTATTATCAAATTTATTGACATGGGAACATTTATCGATAAGAGTCAGAAATTTCAATAACGATACATTTTCGATTTATTGCCCAACCCTTCATGAAGTCCAGGTGAAAACGACTTGTCCTTCAAACTGTCAGAGATGACTCACCCTGTGATGCTGAGAGGTTTGTTTTCTATCTCCTTCAGCTTCTTTTTCATTTCGGTTGTTCTTGACGGTCGGTGCAAATATTTCCGTTTCCCAGTGCACTCGTAAGTCCAGTGTCCCATCTCCAAGCACTTCTGACAACGCACATTTTGTTTGTTTGCCTCCCTGTAAGCAATAAAAATAAATAAATACCTTCCAAACAGGAAAAAATACATAAACTACAGAAGTAAGACATTTGCACATACATGTATTTGTTGTCAGATTACTTAAAATTAATAATGAATGGAACAAATGATTCCAGTATAAATTATGAAAAAAAAAATGGCTGCCGTAGTTTAACTCCACCAGCAGGTGTCACTATAAGCAATGAATGATGCATCGAAGACGTGAACCTCTGGGCAAAAAAAATAGTTGAGAAGCTACACGAAGCTTTATGTAGCCATCTCATAATTAATACACTAGTAATGAGTACTTCATTTTAAACTCAGAAACTCGCAGGTGTTCCACCAAAGAAACTGAAACCCCACCAATAATCACAAATTATCAAAACTCTGCCCAAGTCCCGATTCTTCTCAATACTTTGATCCGGCTATTGGTTATAACTATATTGACATTAACATCGATGTAAACAAAATTATTTTTTACTTAAACTGGGGTATTATAAAAATAAATAACAGCTTCAGAAGAGTACAGTTTCACACAACGTAGCGCTTCGTAGAGCCGCGGGATGCCCGTCCCTCCAAGTTCGTTCTTTACAGGCTGAATGTAAAACTGTAGGTCAGCTATAGACCGCACGTGGTAACGTAACAAATGTAGACACAAAATATACTAAAATAATATTGCTACGCTAAGTTTAAAAATGTTTTACTCACGCTTGTCTTCTCGCTATTATTCTATGCATGGGAGTCGCCATGTTTGAGGTCTCTTCTTCGTTGGTGTCAGCTCAGGGCCTATTTCCGGAAATGTAAAGGAGTGAAAAGAATACGTAACCACCCGTGTCGTCGCCATTTTGGATGGGTCTCTTCACTCTCCGAAGGCAATGCAGAGTACGCAACTATGCCCGTTTTTGTGCATCCCACGGTTACAACAACCCGCGTACAATTGAAAATAGATCATGTGGGATTACTATAGTGACTTTTCTAGCCTACCTGATAGGATTTTAGATTTGTATTTGTTTATTTATTTTGTTTAATTACACTGACAGAGGCAGACTCGCCTCTGGTAGTGTGCCGAATGGAGACTAAGATGGCAGCCGGCCACTACGGCAGCTCCAATAGGCAGCGCCATCCCATGAGGTGTCTAGTATTTACTCTTTGTATGGGGTGACACTGGCACAGGAGTTAAGTGCTCGTCCCATAATCGGAAGGTTGCAGGTTCAAGCCCCACTCAGTCTGTCGCTGTTGTTGTGTCCATGGGCAAGATACTTAACCCCCCTTGCTTGCTGATGGTGGTCGGATGGACCAGTAGCGCCAGCGCTCGACAGCCTCGCCTCTGTCAGTGTACCCCAGGGCAGCTGTGGCTAGAATGTAGCTCATCGACCAGACCAGGGTGAGCATGACTGTGTTGTAAAGCACTGTTACGTCCCCGACAGGAGGTGTTAAAATGTGAAGGAAGGGGAACACAAGAAACATGATAGTGGGTTTAAAATGGGTTTAATTGTTATAAAAGGTTCTAAAAACAAGTGCAAACAGATGGTGAGCATTGTTTAAAAAATGCCAAACAAACAAAAAAAAACTCTCAAAAAGGTTAACACTAAAAGACCAATTACCAACATTAAAAACACCTGGTTAAAACTTATATTAAAAGTTTTACTGAACAGAAAGTGTTTCCAAAATCTTCAAGTTGATAGTAAAATCTGACACACTAGAAAAACACTGAGTGTTTTAAAATCCCAAAGTCAGTAAACTACAACGTTAACCTTAAAACCAAGTCAACCAAGTCAACATCAAACAAAGATCCCTTTGGATCACTCAGAGTTAAAACTATTAAAATTAAGACTCATCAAAATGAAGGGGTTGAAACCAAAATGAGGCATGAATAACAGCTTAGCCCCTGCACTGCTGCCTCCCAGACTGCTGAAGGCACGGCCTTTTTATCCCAGGTGTAGGTCACCAGATGATTTAGCTCAGCTGTGCTCCTCAGCAGCCTGGAAGAAAGGAGGAAGAGGGGCGGTGCCTGGCTGATCACCGAGGCTGGGTGATCCTGGCTCCTGCACCTGAAGAGGCCAGGCTGGTGGCCACAACAAGCTCCTTGGGAGGTTCCAGGACTCTAGAAGGTGCTATGTCAAATACAGGCCATTTACCATTTTACTTTGGTGCCTGTCACTATTTAACAGGCACTCAACCCGTTAGAGAATGCTCGACTTTCAATTTGTTTAAAGGCAAATGTTAAAAACTGGTTATGGACAAATCAAGTGTGTGATCATGTACGAGTTGTATAGTTTTGATGTTTTATTTGTGAATAGAATGGTGTAGGTTTGGTGATGGAGTTTTGATTATGAATGAATGATGAATTTTCATGAATCATTATGTCTTTTTATGTCTAAGGACAACAGATGGAAATTAGCCTTTGGCTATAATCTGGCATGTTTACATTCATGTAAGCTGCATTTACATTTATGTTCATTAACATGCACTGTCCTAAATAAATAAATAAAGAGCACTTTTCCTGGTATGTGTGGGGGGTGTCTGCTCTGTTTCCTCGATCCTCAGTGAGTCGTGGCGGATGGCAATTCCTACTGAGCCAGGATCCTCTGGAAGTTTTTCTTGTTAAAAGGGAGTTTTCCACTGTCGCTACTTGCTTAGTATGAGGATTGCTGTGAAGTCACTGACACCAGTCAGTGACTCCATGCAATTTGCTAGGTTCCTTATACAGGAAACTTTTTACTGATTGGCTTAATGAACTGAACCGCTTTAGAATGTTTACTTTGTGAAGTGCCTTGAGACGACTCTTCTTGTAATTTGATGCCATATAAATAAACTGAATTAAACACAATTTAATTGACTTCATCATTTAGGACTTGGTCCTGATGATGGATCTACAGATGTTCTTTGGTGACTCTTATTTACATGCGTGCAGACATGATGCTGGTGTGATGCTGGCACGATGCACACACAGCGTTATGTAACTGATCACATGAGTCAATGGTGTTTCATGTTGAGTCATAGATGGAGACAGGGTTTAAATGTGAAGCAAAATGTTTTATTCATGAGTGCTGAAATATTGTAATTTGAGTCTACATCTGGCCTACAGAGTCACCAAGGCAACATCTGGTGCAACACCCATGAAAGAGATACAGGCTGGGTAAGTTGTTGTTTCTATAGAAGCTAAACAGAGAAAACAAAGTTGAATGGCATATAGCTTTAAATGCAAATGTAGAGGGAGAAGTGCGTTCAGTTTTTCTCCCAGAAGTCTAGGTCTGAAGGGATGAGTCAGAATAACTGTGACTAACAGACCTATTTTTGTTCTGGACAGCATCTGCATCATGAATGAAAGCTGGTTCCACAAGAGAATCCTGAGATCTGCTCTGCTTCCCAATTCACTTAATTCCACTTTAATGTCAAAACTGTTTCTTCACATCCCTGGCGCAAACAACAACACAAGTAATGATATAATGACAAAAAACATATGAAGTTAAAAGAAGACAGAATACCTAGTGGTATTGGTGCAAGCAGCAACGGGGAAAAGCCTCCAGTTGTGCAAGTTCTCCCAGTTAAAAAGATGAGTGGCCTGTAATTTTCATCATAGGTATACCTCAACCATGAGAGACAAAATGAGAAAAATATCCAGAAATTCACATTGTCTGATTTTTACAGAATTTAAATGAAAATAATTGTGGAAAATTACTGTTTGGTTTCCTACAAACAAGCAAGATTTCTGACTCTCACAGATCTGAAGGCTCCTTGTCCTCCACGCGTTACCTGTATTAATGGCACCTGTTGGAACTCGTTATCAGTATAATGGCGCTTACACATTAGCGTTGGCATGGTCGGGGTTTGGTCGGGCTGGATGGCATGAGTTCGGTCTCGAACGGGTGGTGTAGTGTTAAGGAAATCAGAGGGACTTCTCAGGAATGCGGAAATCCCCGAGCCTGTGTGCGGCGCTTAATACGCTCCATAAGGTAAACAAAAGGTGGGCATGAGCCGTGTTCCTTTTGTAGACTCTGAACCACATTATTTTATTAATTTGCTGTGTGTGTCCTCATAATCTTGTGCCACACACACACACACACACACACACACACACACACACACACACACACACACACACACACACACACACACACACACACACACACACACACACACACACACACACACACCAATTTCTCCCCTGAGCAGCTGTCTGCTCGCCAGGGCAAGAGCTCCGATGCGGAGAACAGGCACACACACACAGAGCTATTCTCTTCTGCCGTTCCCACACTTAAAGGCAGCTCCGGAACGGCAGCTTCATGCTACAGACAGATGTTTACTCAACAGCATCCAGCATGAGAATGTTTGGGTCTGTTTTTCTGCAAAGAGACCAGGATGACTGATCCATGTAAAGGATATGGGGCCATTTATGATCAGATTTTGAGTGAAAACCTCCTTCAATCAGCAAGGGCATTGAAGCTGGGTTTTTAAAACATCATAAAGATCATAAACACACTGCTTAGGTTACAAGGGAGTGGTGTCATAAGAAGCCTTTCAAGGTCCTGAAGTGGCTCATAGTCTCCAGATCTCACCCCAATAGAAAATCTTTGGAGGGAGTTAAAAGTCCGTTTTGCCCAACGTCAGCCCCAAAACATCACTGCTCTAGGGGAGCTCCACAAGGAGAAATGGGCCAAAATACCAGCAACAGTGTGTGGAATCCTTGTGAAGACATACAGAAAACATTTGACCTCTGTCATTGCCAACAAAGGTTGTAAACAAAGTATTAAGATGGACTTTTGCTATTGACCAAATACTTATATTTCACCATAAGTTGCCAATAGATCCAAAACAAATCAGACAATGTGATTTTATAGTTTTTCTTTTCTCATTTTGTTTCTTGTGGTTCAGATATTCTTGTGATGAAAATTACAGGCCTCTCTCATCGTTTTGAGTGGGTGACCATGCACAATTGGAGGCAGACTAAACACTTTTTGCCCTACTTTATACATAAAAGAAGTATAAAAGTTTTAAAAATTGCAATAATAAGACAAAGTACCCAGGAAAACACACAACAGGAATAAATTGTGCTAAATATTCAAAGTAGATCAATTACTTTTCTTACAGAATTGATATTTGAATGCTGATTACTTGGTTACCATGACTACAGTGCATTTGAAGCTGAGTTCCACCCACCAAAAATGCCATCTTTAATATTGACTTAAAAATAAATAAAATATCAATGCCAATAATCATTATAACATTCAAACAAAAAATATTGTTTGAAAGATTTAAATTAATGAGCTTTTTTATTTTAAAAAATCCAAAAAGCTACAGGTGTCGATGCAACAAAATTCCCCAAGAGGACGATAAAGATCAAAAGTAAATAAACAAAATAAAATAATAAAAAAAGAACGAATAAATATATAGGTAAATAAAAAAGGGTCAAAAGTGACAATCCAACTATTAATAAAGAATAATTTTTATTCATGCATGTGTAAAAATGCCTCAATTTAATTAATTAATTAATTAAAAAGGCCTGCCATTTAATTAACATATTAATTATGCACACATTTAATTGATCATAATGAAATCATTATGCTAATTTAGAGTGGCACAGCATAAAAATTTGAAACCTTTCAATGTTTTTTGCTAAATATTTCATCATCGTAAGGCGAACTGCTTAGAAAAATATTAGCACACCTCACATGGCAAAGCCGCTCGTTTTGATATATAATTAGTGGGGTGCACGCAGCCGATCGAGTTGCATTAATGTCCATTGAATAATAATAATGGCAACAAGGTCACCTGATACAAGTGGGCGGAGCCTAGAGTTGTCTCCTTCTTCTTGATTAGTTGTTATGATGACATATCAAAGGG